ATATTTATATTTATATTTTTTTTATATCTATGTATATATATATATATTTATTTATTTATTTCTTTATTTTTATTTATATATATATTTATATTTATTTATATATATATATATTTATATATATTTTTATATATTTTTTATTTTATATATATATATATTTTTATATTTTTATATATTTTTATATATTTTTATATTTTTTATATATTTATATATATTTATTTGTTTATTTGTTTATTTATTTCCATATATATATATGCACACATACTACTTCACCAGAATGTAGGGGCTGAGACTCCCCGATACTAGGGCTTCGAAGCCTCTCGGCCTTCGGCTCAAAGTCTGGAAGGTTGAAGGTTCAGAGCCTTAAAAGGTTCAGAACTGCGCAGGTTTTAGGGTTAAGGGGTTGCGGGTTTGGGGTTGAGGGGTTGAGGCGTTGAGGGGTTGAGGAGTTCAAGGTTTCGAGTTTAGGGTTGAAGTTTCAAGAACGCCTCGACGGACCCTGGCACGAAGTATCCTAAGTTACGGGATGCTAAGCTTCAGACATAGCCGACAACCCCTTCGACCTCGCTCGCTGCCACCCTTAGAAAGCCCCTGCAAACCCGGGAGAATACCTTGCAAATTCTTACCAACATGCTCAACAAAGACAAAATCCGGGATCCTGCATTGCGGAACAAATCAGGAACTTGAACCGAACGATGATATCGTGTATGAACGGCCACACCCAAACCCCAACCATTTCCAAACCCTGAACCCCAAAGCCAGGAATCCAAAAGATACTAATGAAACCGCTAGGGTTCAGGGTTTAGGCTCTACATCCTAAACCTTAGTTCAATGTCTCGCGGAGAAGCACCTTCATTGAAAGCAAGTGCGGGCAGCCCTGCGCTGCACCTCGGCACTGCGCCATAGCAGGGTTGCGGTTGTCAAACATCAGCCTTCCCTGTGAAAGAACGTTATGTTATGCAACGCCTTGGGTTTACAGCAAAACACGAACGACAAGAACACTTCCACAAAAGCTCCCAATTGTTAGTCATCAGTAATGTCGACTCCTGATGAATACACTTCTGTCTGTTTAGGGCCTTTCTACCAGGATTCATATAAGACCGTATCTATCGAGGGGGCGCGTGTCTCTTAGTCAGGGGGTCAAGTTTACGTGGGTAGCTCTCTGAACTAGGTTCCGTCGTGCCCTTCCGGGATTCTGGGATGAGGAGTCGAGGGAGGAGATCCGGTTTGGGGGTTTAGGGTTTAGGGTTCAGAGTTTGGAGTTTAGGGTTTAGGATGTGCCAGGCGAGGTCGCGCGCCCGGGTGTGAAGCACCCCGGGCCGCGCGCTCGCATTGCTCGTAAACCCAGCCCGGCCACCCGAACTGCACTCCATTAGGGTTTAGGGCTTTTTGAGCTTATGTGCCTCGGTATTCTTTTTATCCTTGGGAAATATAAAATTTCTTACTTTTCTCGCTCCTGAAAGTTCTACGCCCGTCGGAAATTATCCATTCAAGTAGGTTCGGGTTTGGGTGCGGCTTGCGGCATGGCAGGGCGGGCCTGTTCGGCCCGTCCCAAGTCATAACACAGGGCCGCATTTTGCCACTCCTTTTCGCAAATTGTGTGCTTTAGACGAGGCTGGTGGCCCATCTGGGGGTCTCCCCTTTCGGGGAAACCGTCAAATCGGAGGGCCGTCCTAAGTCGTGAAGGATTGAGGTACCCTACTTTCCGTCCTTGTCCGTTTTTGGACCGTCCCAAGTCGTCGTCCCAGACCCGCGCGGCTGGGAGTAGCGTCGGCCCTTTTCGGGCCGGCATGGCAGGACGTGTTCGGCCCGTCCCCAGATGTAATGGGCTGGCGCTGGTGTCGGGGTGGGGCTCTCGCCAGGTCCCCAGAACGCTAGGCCGCTAGGCCCCTGCTGAAGCGTCCTGCAGCGCCGTTTCTGGGGCCCCCGGAGTCGCTGCCCCCTGGAGGCAGGGGTCAAAGGGTGCGGGGGCCCCGGCAGACCCTAAACCACGCCCAAACGGGGGACGGTTTCGTTGTCGTAAGCAAGGCCAATAACCGTTGGCTTGTCCAGGACAGACGGTGAGGCTGTACCCTCACCTTTCCGTTTCTCTTTTCGCATAGGTGCTCGAGCTGCAAGGCGACCCGTCAGGGTTGGGGGTGTAGGATTCCGAAGTACCCACCTGCACGATCAACAAAAATCGATCTCAGCGACCGTAGTCAAGCCACTCCTCGAGAAAACTCTGGGAAAACCTCTGGAACGCTACCACATCCCCCAAGACCCTGAAACTCTGAATTCCTATATGAACACACTCGGCGATCCTCACAAATACCCCCACAACCCTAAACCCTAAATCCCAAACCCCAACCCTAAACCCTGAATCCTAAACCCCAAACCCTAAACCCCAAACCCCACCTGCGCCCAGCAAGTCTTGCCCCTGTGCCAGTGCCGTCGCTGGCTTCAAACCCTTCATGACCTCCAGGAAAGAGTCCGCCTGACAGGGTTTGTAGGGGGTTTCTAAGAAATTTTTAGGGTTGATAAGGGTTTAGAAGGGTTGATAAGGGTTTTTATGGGCTTATATGGGTTTTTTAAGGCTTGATAAGGGTTTATATTGATTGTAGCTCTTGGATGGGCTTTTCGGGTTGTTGTGGATTGCGAAACCCGAAAATTTCGGAGTTCCGGAACAGAGGGACTCCTAAACCCTAAAACCCTAAACCCTAAACCCTAAACGAGGGTTTTGTAAGGGCTACTATCAGGGCTCCAGCGGGGTTACTCTATCAGGTTCTTGCTTTTAAGGCTTGGTTTTGGGGGGCTTTAGGGTTTGCGGAGGGCTCAGGATTTAGGCCTTAAGGTTTTGGGGCTTAGGGCTTCTGGGTTTAGCGTTTCGGGAAACCTCCGAGCCTTGTAGTAGACCTCCACGTCCACCAGTCGAAGCTGATCGTCCACCTCTGCTACTGCAAAGCCATACATCTCCACGAGCTCGCCGGAGCCCTGGTGGCCTTCATAGCTGCCGGTGAAATGGCCCCAGTGCCGCCAGGAGAAGGACACCCGGGGCGGCGGAGAGAAGCACTCCAGCACCTCCGGGGAACCGCATTCGAGATCATGGTCATCATGATCCTAGTCAGCGTTGGCAAAGCATCGACACCGTGGTCCTCACCACCATCATCGTCATCGTAGGCAGCTGCTATGGCAATATAAGGGCTTGAAGAAGTACAAATGTTCCCTTGTAGCCGCTTTATAGCTGTTTACGGTATAACATACCGCAAAAGCTACGTTCTATTTGTTAAGGCATGAATTGAGATAGAACCACCTCCCAGGGGAAGGCGGCGAAGGCATGGTGGAAGGTCTCATGCGACTCCTCCCAAGTGCAGCTGGTGTCGTAGAGCGCAGAAGAGCATCCCTGCAGCAGCACGTTGTAGTTCCCGACCTGCGATGACAATGGCATCTTCCGAAGGTAAAAGCACTATGCGGCCGATCATATCTCAGCGACAATGAACCTCAAATACTCCTCCCCTAAACCCTAAACCCCTAAATCCTATACCCCTAAACCCTATACCCCTAAAACCCCAAGCCCTAAACCTCTAAACTCTGCCATCTTTCAGACAGGGCTGCCTTGTTGGCCTCCACGTTGTTGAACTTCGGCCCCCCGTTGGCACTGATCGTGAACCTCTCAGTGGTTTAGGGTTTCGGGTTCAGGATTTGGGGTTCCGGGTTCGGGGTTTAGGGTTTAGGTTGCAGGGCTTGTAGGGCTTACCGGGCTTTCTTTAAGGGCTTTACGCTAGATCGAAAGGCGTTTAGGGTTTAGAGTTTACTTGGAGGTTCATCGGTAGTTATAACTAGGGGTCATAAGTAGGGTAATTAGAGCTTATTGCCCATAGGGGACCTATAGCCCATTTCTAACTAACCATGAACCTCCACGTAGGTTTTTGTTTAGCCACGTAGGTTTTGTTTAGCTCCTTTTTGACGTCTGCCCCCCTCTGTCGCCAGACAACAGCATGCACGTAGTTGGTCCTAAAACCCTAAACCCGTAAAGATCCCCTATGGTAGCCTTATGCTCCCTTTAAAGGAAGGGGGTGTTCAGAGCTGAGGGTTTGGGTCTTCCGCATGGAAAACCCTAGCAGCCTAAAGTGTAGGGCACGGTTTAGGACATCGGTTTGTGGGCTCGGGGTGAAACACCTTAAACCGTAAACCCCTAAACCCTGCATCCCAAAACACCCCCCAAACCTCAAGACATCCCCGAACCCCAAAAAAATGGAAAGGACGCCTCTCCGGATCCACGGAACGGTGGGCTCCGGGATCGAGCCTGGGCTTTCACCAGAAAGTTCAGGAGATTTGGGTTTAAAATACCAAACCAAGCGTTTAGGAGCTTGAAATCTATAACAAATTAGGGCTTCGCGGTGTAGGGGCTTAGGGCTCACTGGTATAAACTCCTATGTCATACTGGTTCCTGAAACCCTAAGCCCTTTAAGGAACTGGTCTCGAAAAATGCATGGTTTCTGAAAGGAGCCCTTATGACACGGCTCCTTAACGAAAGAGTTCGGCGTGGTTCCTACTATGCTTCCGTGAACCCGAAACCCTACAAGGAACAGGTCCCAAAAACAAACGCATGAAGAATGATACTCCTAAGCCCCAAACGCCAAACCGGAAACCCCAAACCCTAAACCCTCAAGCAAATGATAAAAGAAGGCATGTGTTGAGCGGTTTGGGTGGCAGAGCCATAAGCATTTGGTGGCGTAGAAAAGCATTTTCTCCCTATATGAAAGGCCCAGAAAGCTGAAAGCTTTGCAAAGCCATTGGAAACGCGTGGCATTTAACGAAGAAGAACCATCTGGCAAGCACTTCAGGAGGACGGGGTTTTCAAATGGTTACAAAGAGCAGGAAGACTTTATCTCGTAGCATTAAATGAAACCGAACCACCTGGCAAGCTCTTGCAGGAAGAGGGGGTCTTCAAAGGTCTGAAAGCTTCTGCTTTCAGGCAGTTGGAAAGGAGTTTGTTCTACCTATATGAAAGCCCAGAAAGCCGAAAGCTTCTCCACCCCACTGGACGGGAGGCCCAGAGAGCGGAAAACTGCTCCAGGCCACTGGAAAGAAGTTCGTTATTTTAAGAGCTCAAAGCTTCTCCAGGCCACTGGAAGGAAGTTTGTTCTCCCTGTCTGCAGGGCCGGCAGGGCAAGCAGGGGCAGGGCAGGGCAGAACAGGGGAACCCGTGTTGTTTTGCTGTAGTTGCTTTATGTTGTTTTTTGTTGTCGTTGCCCGGGCCCAGGAAGCCAGTGAGTGAACCCCGGTTCCCGCAACGACAGCAAAAAAAGTTGCGACGCAGTCAATTGTTGCCGTTTGCGGGCACGTGCGCCAGCGGCAGTGTCAGCGACAACTTGGCGAAGAGGCGTCGTCCTAATGTAAGTGGAGTATAGTGGCACTTGCGCCCAGATCGCCACATGCTGCTGAGCCGAAGCTGCGGCCGGCGAGCATTCTGAGATGCGCCGCATCCACCTGTGTACCTCCGCTTCGGGATTGGCGCCGAAGGGGTCAGGCAGATGTGTGGGAATATCCGCTGGGCGCGCAGTCCCAGGGGCACTGGTTTCCTTGTGAGTTTGGCCTGGACAGAGCTGAAGGGCTAGGATTGGACCGAATCAAGCGCCTGCGATGGCTTGGAGTGGCTCGGACTGGCAGCAAGCCAGGGCGCCGCGCTTGGCCCGGTCGGCCTTGGCAACGGCTGCACGACAGGCTCCCCTTCAATACGAGGAAAGTTATCGATCTGAAGCAAAGCCCAGCTTGCAGCCTCGTTGAGATCTGATGGAAACCAGGACAATGCTCCCCGCGCAAGGCATGTGGGAACGCCAAGACGTGCGATGAAGGGATGAAACCGGGCTCGCCGATGTGGTGGGGAAGCAGACCCGTCCAGCTGCTGGAAGCCCCACGCAGCAGCTGCGGCGAGATCATCACCGCATCGCAGTATCGCTTCGTCGGCCGTGCTCTCCGGCAGGCCAAGGCGCTGCAAGTGCAACATGTCTGCGTTGTTTGTGGTTTCTGCTGCGGCGAGGCTCATGTGCAATTCGGGACGGGGCGAAGATGACTCACTCAGCACGCCACCTTCCATAGGTGGAACTGCACCCTCAGGGCAGCTCCGAGAAGACTTGCATGTCCACAGCATAAGGTTTGGAGATATGCCGTATTGCGCCCGCACGCGCCGCGCGGAACGGTACCTCGGGGGGGGCCAGCTTCTGGATTTGCCAGATCCGCAAGCCAAGACCGGGGCTTATGTACGGGTCGGCCATGGGCGAGCTGTAGCATGTGTGTTCGGCACGGGCACGCAAAGAAAGGGGCGCAAGTGTTGCAGACGTGGTCGGGCGGAGGGCCACACAGCGCTCTTGGCTTTGTGAAGACAGCGCGCGGCTGCAGAGGGACGGCACGAGATGCAAACAGCATCAGGGCTGACAGAGTCATCATGAGCTGCAGGCGAGTACACGGCGGCTGGGCTGACGTGACAGGACGGCGCGGGATGCCAACAGGCAGCGCGGGGGCTGACACTAGAGTTCACTAGAGTCCTCAACTGCCGGCTAGCTCACGGCGGTTGGGCTGACGTGACAGGAAGACCGGAGTAGGTCTTGCGATAGCCATGCACTGCGCTAAGTTGGGAAGGAACGGTGTGGGAGAAACCGGAGAAAGGCACTCGGAAGACGTATCCATGACTGTTGCATTGACGGGTGTCGGGGCGATGACTCCTCCGCGAGTATCAAGTCTTCGATGACCGCCTGGAGCAATGCAGTTGGCACGGACGTGGGCGATGGCTGCACCGGCGGTATGCTTCTGCACTGAAGGCCGTCGCCTGGCGTGGATATGTGCTGGGCGCCACTGGGATAAGAAGGCAGACCGTCTGCCACTGACGTGGGGCTGCAGATGGGAACGGTGGGCGTGCGCGATCTTGCGGGGTGCTCAGTTTGCACAGCATTGCGGAGGAGCAAGAATTGTCCCAAGCGGCCAGCAGGCATCACAACGGGCGGCACGACGACATGGAGAGAGTCGACTGCAAGAGTTTTCAAGTCTTCTTCATGAGGAACCACAAGACCATGTGGCACTGGCACGCAGGCGTCAAAGTGCCCACGCCCTGTAGAGCATGATCTTGACCTCGTGCATCATGAGAAATGTGGGCTTCGACACGAAACAGGACGGTTGGCATGGGTGGAAAAAGAAGGCAATAGCACTTGGAGCGCGCAAGACGACTAGGCCGTTTGGATAGCACGCAGGCATGCAGAGACCGGACTATGACGTCAATCTGGGCTGTGTGCGTGGAAGGCGTGTCGACATCGAGCCCGGAGGCAGACTTCACGTCGGCAATGGCTTGCAGGACACTTTCCTTAAGGTGCATGTGCGCGTGCCACAAACAACTCGTCGACGGCACTTCAGTCAGTCGGCACACGGCGCAAATGCGTTCCTCCTTCAGAAAGCGCGGAGCCACAGAGGCGCGGCTGCACAGCAGGCGCGGAAGCGTAGGAGCGCAGAGGCGCCAAGGCGCATAAGTGCGATGGCAAAAGCCGGACCGGACAGCCACCGAGGCGCGGAGGCGCCGATGCACGCAGGCGCACAGGCGCAGCATCACAGAGGCACAGAGGTGTAGGGGCGCGGCTGACGGCAGTCGCAGGTGCAGCCGCGGCTTGGCATGCGTGTGCGTGCAAGGGCCGGGCCACTGCAGTGCGACCTTCCAGCACCTTCTGCCGTGTCCGCGACCGTCGTGGGTGCGACAATTCCTTATGCACGGGCTGCGTCGCACAACGCCTGCGATTGCAGCTTGTCTTCAGCGCTGCTTGCGCTTGCACTTCTTCCCAGGTTTTGAAAGCAGTAGCGGGGATGGGACACTCGGCATTAAAAAAGGCTCAGAAGTCTCACTCGCAATGGCGCCTGGCGCAAATCCATGCGCACAGGCCTAGAAGCAGCAGTCTTGGGCCCAGGAATCTTGGCGCAAGGGTTGCTGCTACATGGTGCTGAGGCTGGCAAGGGATCGGACTTGGTTTGTATGAGGACCAGCGATGTGACTTTTCGCCGATTGTTGACCTTTGCCAGCGTTTCGTGGCCCGATTTGGGCTGCAGTATCTCCTTCCTCTTGTAGTACCCCTTTGGGCCCGTGCTTCCACTGCCAGGATCGCTCTGGGCCGCGATCAAAAGCTTCCGGTGCTCGGCGGTTGCTTGAGCGACCGAGTTTGGCCACGAGGCGAAGAGCGGGCTTGGGCTAGTACCGCACATGCTGCGCAGCAGCAACAGAAGACAGTGGAGTCAAGGTGGCCCAGGCACAATTGGACTTTGGTCCCCTGAGGAAACTATCGACAGCAACAACAAAACACAACGCTTCCGCAACGACAGCAAAAAAATAGACGCTAGTAATTAATAGCAATACTAACAATAGTAGTAATAAGAATCATTGTATTAGCAAATAATAGTAACAATACTAGTAACAGTAGTAGTAATAGCAATAATAGCAATAATAGTAGTAATAGTGAAAATAGTAAAATAGTAATAATAGCAAGAATAAAAATAATAGCAATAATAGCAATAATAGCAATAATAGCAATATTAGCAATATTAGCAATATTAATAATAATAGTATAATACTAGTATATAATAGTAATAATAATAATAATAGTAGTAATCATAGTAATAATAGGAATAATAGAA